GTCCTGAGAGACTCCGAGCAGCCCTAGAGGTTGTGTCCGAGTATATAAGTGCAATCGGCATGGAGTTTGAGTTAGACAAGTGTGCAGTAGCCCACTTAGTAAAAGGAAGATCGCCGAACTGGAGTGATAATGTCGAGCTTACAGACGGGAGCATCATAAAACATCTGGATGCTGGAGAGTCATACTGATATCTTGGACAGGCACAATCTTCTTTACAGGACGTGTCTGTCATCAAAGATACTCTCCGTAATGAGTACAAGTGGCGACTGGACGGGGATGTGTTCCTATATAGAGCAGTATATCAGGCAACGCAGAACTTCGGCTCAGTTTTTGACCCTAGCAGCCGAGACGGTCTGAGGCTTTTGCAATTGATCAGAGGGCAACGGAAGATCGATATAAAAAAAACCGAGCAGTTAAAACTGATAGTCCTGGTGATCGGCGTCCTCGGAGGGATGAGGGACCGCTTTCTGACAGAGCTTCGAACAATACTAGTCTGCCGTAGTCAGGCTGAGATTCTCGCGGTTCGTATGCAGAAAGCGGTCATCCTTAGTTCTTTCCGAATCCTGAGACGATTGTAAGAATTTTGACTGAACGGCTGCAGCCCCGGCTCACCCTCGAACCTGAGAGAGTTGGGTGTCTGCAGGATAATCCCGTCTGGCCCCAGGTAGGTCGGAGCCCTGGGATTCCTGGCCAGACACTTTTGACGAACCGAAAGGAGATAATAATAATAATCATTCCAATTCTGCCGAGGGAAATTTGAAATCTTTTAATAATCAAAATTCTTTTCATGGATTTAGATGTTGAATTTGTGGAATAGAAGGTCATTCTAAGAAGAATTGTGAGATTTTTCAGGCTGTTAAATCCAGTTTAACTGAAAATAATTAGATTTGGTTTGAAATTCTATCAGATTAAATTCAGAGATTTGATTCAATTTTTCTAGTAAGTGAAGGAAATCGCCTAAAGTTTTAGTTATTTTTGGAAGGTCTCCATGCATTTGAAATCTATTTAATGATGTATTTCGAATTCATAAAATTCCGAATGATCGTTTGAAAGTTGTTCATGTGAATAGACTCGTTCCTTATGAAGATAATTAGTTATTTTGACTCTTTCTGGATTCCTAATTTCTGTTGAAGTCGGGGTTTTTGTAACTTCCAGTCTGAGAACGTTGGCTCTCATTGATCATTTGATTTAAATTCACAATGTCTGTCCTGGAGCGTTCTCGTGAAGTTACTGTAGGATATACACGGTTGGAGTCATTGTACCGGAATTCTTTTCTTCATTTATTGGCCAAAGTGAAGCAAAGTGAGGTACTAGATGTCCATGCTATCCGATTCTTTTTGTTCGGATAGCATGCGTAACTGTCAGCCCAATTTTTAATAATTTAGTTTGCACAGTGAGCAGAAGCTATTAAACTTATTTTTAAAAATTCCTTGCACAAGATAGAATTGAATTGATTATTTTTATGATATTGAATTATTTATTCGAGAGTCGGATTTTATTTAAAAAGGATGTGAAGTCAGAATTTATTTGGAGAATTGACTCCATGAAATGTGACTATTCAACCTAATTATTAATTGAACATTGAATTTATGAGTAAAAATAAAATTTTTAGAGAACTTTGATTCTGTGAGAAACTTGTATTTTGTTTAGTTTAATGACCTTCCAGTTCTTGGCATTTCCTACTCTTTGGGTTCTTATGGTTCTTTCCAGTGGTTCCTCCTGATGAGAAAGAAGGATGGAAAGGGTTTTTAAGAAATCTTTTATTGTATAGAATCACGTTATTAGTTTAATTTAGATCATTTTGGTCTGTTTGGAGGTTTTTACCCGCCGCAGGATTTTTCCCTCCTAATTATTTGTTTTATTTATTTTAAAGCAGACAAAATTGGAATCTAGACTAAATGATTATTAATTTGATTTTCATAATTTCAAATTAGAAATGTAATTCTAGATTTTGCATGTTTATTTATTTCAGCCTAATCCAAAATTTTTACCCAACTAATAGGAATTGCCAGATGGCAATTTTTAGACGATCGGGGGTAGTGTAAAATATTTGTATGTCGCTATCTAATGACTATTAGACTAACGACAGTTTGTTAGTTAACGACGATTGCTTGACGATTAGATTGTTTATAGCAACGAGGGGAGAGTTTGTTTATCTCCAGTTTTTGACTGAGACTGGAGTTGGCCGCACGTATTCTTTCTTTCTAATTTATTGCTGTCAATCTTTAATAAACTTTTTCATTATTATTTAATTTTCTGGAGTTGTTATTTGGTTTTATTTTACAATATTATCTTCAGTGGTTCTCGAGATATCGAAAACGAAAAAAAACCTGACATACGCACGCACGCACATACGTATATACATACATCCATGTTTAAACCTTCTAATATGCTTTCAAATGTCTCAAAACGTAAAGATATGATAAAATTACGAATTTCAAAAATCAACCCCATTACAATAACTTCCTGATGGGAAGTTAATAACGAATAATAATTATAAAAATTGAACGAGATGTAATTTTTTTTCTAATAATTAATTAAGTTAAAAAAATTTTTATCATAATTGACTTTTTGGGTTCTACTTTACTATTATTACTATTTCTTTTATTACTTCAACTATTACAATTATTATTATTACTTGAACTATTTCTTGCAAGTTCAGATAAATGTAATGTAGCTTATTTTACACCCGTATCCTGGAAAAGAAAGTAATACGAAAAATAAAAATAAAATAAACTCTTTTATAGTACTTACGATCATTGGAAAAAGTAGAGCGTTGGCAATCTGAACATCACTTGAGTGTATACTCCCGATGATCAGGAAGTACCAAAGGAAGTTACAGACAAGTCACATTGATTGTCAAACTATGGAAAATATTTCACAAACATTTAAAATCATGAAATATTTTTAAGTTTTTGAATAAAAGACAAACAAATCATCTTCGTCATATTCTATTAATGTTCTAATGTTTTTATCTTTATGTTTTACCTGACGGAACTAAAGCAATTGTTGGACAATTTAAAACAGACATTCGTTTTAAAAACCCGAAAATTTTTAAGTGAATTAATATGTTGTACAGCAACTCAAACTATTGAATTTTTTTGAAGAAAGAAATGATAGCTGGATTTATAGAAATGAAGCTAATGAAGTTGAATAATAACAATAATTTACAATAAAATAATTTACTCGTTCCCAGAATGTCGTGTAACATCAGATTTTGTGTGCATGAGAAGAACTATGATGCCTACTAATTGTTCCTTCATTCACTCTTTGATCGGTAGATTTCATTTTTTCTAAGGAGTTGGTGGAGTATTTATAAACATCAGAAATTTCAAAAGATTTCGTAACTTCTTCATAACGTTGCTATTTTCTAGCATGTATGGTAGTTTTTGTATCTGTAATTATTTTTTCTGGCATTTTGAAGTTTGCTAATTCGGAAGATGTATCCCGACTGATTTAAGTACTGTTTGGTTCATGTGTCAACCAAACAGTAGACATATACGTAGACACAGATTTTTTTTTTAGAACAATTTTCCCCTGACAATAATGGAATGTGAATAATAAAATTTTAAATCGATTGTTAGAAATGTATAATAGTAACATCAATAATAAAAATAATGACTTATAGAACATATAGTAGGGGAAGGGAGGGTAAAGTGTTACACGAGGGCAAATTTGAATGAAACACTCGATAAAATGTACTAATTTATTCAAATAAGTTTAATAACGCTATTTGCATTTTTTGTTTATCAAATTTTTAATTTATTAATGATTTGAAAATTATCAACATTTATTAATATAATAATTAATTCGTTGATTTAGATTTCTTTCTGGTGTTCCACTTTATCCCACCTTTCCCGTTTTTTTTTCCACTGGAAAGTTATTTATACAGATAAAAAACATTTATAAAATTTACATCAATTATATTTTTTACACTACAAAGCTCAAATTCAAGTATTTTATTTCAATACGCTAAAAGTTTTTCTATGTGATGTCACTCATTTGATTATGTTCAATATACTGTATTGCTTCGAATTGTTATTATTTGATTATTTTGTAAATCAATGTTTTTGTAAGATCAGGTTTTTCGTATCAATTCTAAAAAAACATTATCACTTATATCTTAATTGAAAGAAAAATCCCACTTAAAACAATTATTTCTTCATTTGTAATACTTAGAATGTGATCAATATTTTAATAGCGGTAACAATGTATATTAAACGTTTTGTTCTATTTGAAGAAATGAAGTGAGTAACAAATGACATCTTTATTAATCTTTGAAGATAAAAAAAATCCACTTGGATGTATTGAAAAAAGTACAATCAATAGTAAGTAAATATCGTGACATATGTATATGTAGATATCTGTATATGTAAGATATCTTTCAAATTTCAATTAAGATATTAAGAGTTTTAAATATTGTAAAATAAGACTCAATAACAACTTCGGAAAATTAGTAAATAAATAAAAATGTTTATTAATAATTGACAGCAATTAATTAAAAGAAAGAATCCGTGCGGTCAACTCAAGTCACAGTCAAAAACTGGAGATAAACAAACTCTCCCCTCGTTGCTATAAACAATCTAATCGTCAAGCAATCGTCGTTAACTAACAAACTGTCATTAGTCTAATAGTCATTAGATGGCGACATACAAATATTTTACAATATTTTAGTAAACGCAATTAAGATTAAATCAGTTACATGTTGGTGACGTCAATAAATACTAGTGAAACTCAGTATATTAGTCAACTATGCGCACTGTCAAAGGTGTTATTAGATGGATATGGAAGTGATAGTGTAGCTCTGTAGTAACGGTTTAATCACTGAATTAGAGATAAGCTGAGAATATGAAAAGTATAATTGATTTTGACATTTCCAAGTATTGATAATATCGATGTATTTATCAATAATATTGAAATTCACACGTGGGATCAATAGCCAGTTTCAGAGTTATTAGAACAAGTGAACGTTACTTAGTAAATTCCATCGTAAAATTTAATTAAATTATACTATTTTATTTTTATTTTCGCGAGTTAAGTAATCAGTCGAGTAATGACCCACCGTTTAAACTCTCTCCTGTCTTGGAATGTCTAAGCTGAATTACCATAATTTCTGTAAAAGTTTACATTAATATAAAAAAAGTTATGTCGAATCATCACACTGCAAAACGTCCTCGACATGCTCACAACTGCGTTAACGAAGATCGGATTATTGCTGAGGTAAAAAAAGACCTTCAAAAAAGTATTCGTCGAATCGCAAGGCAGTTTGATTTATCACTCGATACAATCCAACGAACATTGTGGTCGGAAAGTTACCATTCGTATCAATACAACCGTACTCATACGTTGACTCCTCAAGATCTTCAATCTCGTTTGAATTTCTGCAATTGGGTTCTGACTCGTGCACGAAATCATAATTTCTTGAGGAACATCCTGTTCACAGGCGAATGCACGTTCGCAAGAAGCAGCTGCCGGAACTCATACAACTTGTCTTATTATGCATATAAAAATACATTCTCGGCAACTGTACAGAATTCTCAGGATAGATTTTTATTAAATTTGTGGGTCGGAATTATTGGTGATCGCTTGGTATCGTATTTATTTTCATATTGTACTTCCAATATATTCTTATTCTATTTTTAATGATTCCCTGTTATCTTTAGGTTGGGCCTTTCCAATTCGATGGAAATTTAACTGGTGAATTATATGCTACGTTTCTGAATCAATGTTTGCATCCGCTATGTTTGAGGGCGGGGATAAATCGAGCGGAGCTCAATAGAATATGGTACCAACATAATAGACATCCAGCTCATACTAGCTTAGTAGCTAAAAGCTGGTTGCGCCAGAATTTTAGAGGAAGGTTTATTGGTAAAAGCGGATCGAAGAAGTGGCCTGCTCGATCGCCTGATCTGAATCCTGTAGATTTTTTCTTATGGGATTTTGTGAAGTCTGTCGTATATAGAGAGTTTGTCAATAGTCTGCAAGAACTAGAACAACGGATACAAGATGCCATAAGACAAATAACACCTGAGATGTTGCAAAGTTGTACTCAAAGTCTAGTTCGTCGAGCAGAATGTTGCGTTCAAATGAACGGTGGACTTTTTGAGCATTTAATTCATTAGACATTTCATTTTTTCATATTAATCATCAGTACGTTATCATTATATCTATTAATCTTTCTATATCCTCTATTATTTTGATTTATGTCTAATGATTTGTTAAATTGTTTACTTTTTTTTTAAATAAAAGAAACCATAATTATAGAAACGTCAAAGTTAAATAAAGAAAACGAAATTATAAAATATATAAATAATTATTCTACGTTGAAAACAGTATAAATAAATAAATATAATTAATGTATTAAAATGTAAGTAAAAAAAACATTAGAATTAATAAAGGAATGGATGAAAAATAAGATAAAAGAGCAGATAAGAAAAAGGTAAGAAAACGAACGAGAAAACAGAAAATATTTGATGATAGAGTAGATGAGAAAATATGTCAGTGAGAAAATAGTGGAGGAAGTTGTTTAATATGTTTGAAATTTAATTCATAAGATAAACAAAAAAAAAATAAGAGAAATTTTGATTAAAATCATTTAAAATTATTTATTATCAAATTTTGAATTAGGCTTTAATAACTGAAATTAAAATAGCTGATCTACGATACAGTAGAACATAGAGAGCTGGTTACACGTCGAGGTGATCGCAGACCAGTGTTGAACGATAATTAAGAAGTTGAAGCTGTTGAATCCTGAAAGAAAATATGAATTAGTATTTTCTTAGAGAGTGAAACGTATGCCCAAAATTAGACACAGCATTGAATCAACATTTTCAATCGAACTTTATTAGAATTGAACTAAGTGGTTCTGTTAGCAGAAGTGTTAAAAAAACTTCGTGAAGATTCATGCTGAATCTTCCAATAGACATGTGATCTGAGACTCACTTGTTTGCCCATTGAAAATCATCAACAAAACTTGATCGTCTAGAATGTTTCATATCAACCAGTTTAGCCAGCAGATGTTCCTATCTGGAAATCATTGAGATTTGAGAAAATCTCAGCACTTGAAAATGTAGCTGTTTACGTAGTTGATATGTCTCATTTTTAATCAATTGTGGATATAAATCAAGGTATAAGTCAGCAGAAATTGTGTATAATTTCGTGGAAGACCATCTTAACTTCCTCAAGAATGTGACTTATACGCATTTGATCTAGTAACATAAGAAAAATCAAGGCTGGGCTTGATTCAAACAATAAAGAAAGTAACTCACAACTTAATTGAAGATTGAATCCAGCAATAAGATTTATTGCAATCGATCAAATCACAATGAAAAAGAAAATCAGCGGCTTAATTCGAACTTGGATTTACCACACCACAAATTTGTTTAATTAAGGTAAAGTGTCCTATTGCCGACCTAGTGCCTGAAGCCGACCATTAAATTTATTCGTAAATACTTAATTAAAAAAGGTCTATAGATATATTGTTCTATATAAAATACGTATATTAATTATATAATTATCATTTCCTGCCCTAAAAATCCTGATAATTATTTTTTTTTATATTTAAAAAAAATACTCAAGTTAACAGAAGCCAATTTCTACAGATTCAATCGTCGAAATTTCATGGCAATTGATATGTAAATACTTTAACTCAAAAAAGGTTCTGGTCGGTATTCGGGCTATGGATGGTCGGTTTATGGAAACGGGCAGTTTGGTGGTCGTTAATGGACTCATTGTCAAGTTTTGAAAGGAACTTGCTTAAAAATATTTCAATAAAAGTTATCAACAATAATGAATAACGATTCATTGACCTTTTTTGAAATTAAAAGTATCGGTTAATTTTAATTTTCTACTCTCATTCTACTCCTTAATATAATCAAATTGAACTTCAAAAACCTTAGATGGTCGGTATTTTGTACTTTTGCCTTACAACGACACAGTGCACTCGTTGAAACTTTTTGATAGACTGACTCATTTTTTCTTTAATATATCTTTGATGGAAAACCAAACGTCTCTTTCTTTGTCCTGTAGTCCAGTCAAATAAGGGAAATGGGATAATTTTGGTTTGCTGTGGCCAAATTGATGATTTATAGATGACTGGATCGGGAATTTCGCGAGAAACACAATGGTGTAGGTTAAAATTGTTTGGCACATAATTGTGTTCGTTTGATTTCTATGATAGATATAAAAAAATGTTTTAAATAAAAGTTGTTCAGAATTTAATTTTAATAAAAAAAGTACTGAACACTTTTTTTCATATCTATGATAGATAAAAAGTTATTCGCGACTGAAGCTTCACTATTGACAAAAGCTTCAGTCGCGTCTAAAAAAATTAATAAAAAATACTTAATGTTAGAAATATTGCTTTTTGGCGATTTATTTCGAAAAATGAGATATTCAATTACATTTTTAGAGAAAAATTTTTTTTTTCATTATTTTTATTAACAATTAATTATTTAAATCATTCCCATTTTTGTTCAAATGCACCGATCAGCCCGATTTTGGGCTCAAAATGTGCAGAATTAAAAATGAAACATTTCATTTATGCAAAGTTTTTGTTTATTCTGCACCTGTTAAAAGTTATACAGGTATAAATATTTGGGTCCCTGAGAGCACTTTTCCTCTATGCTTTTACTCACTTTTTTCATTCATCTTCTGCTTGTTCTCTTACTTATTTCCGTGTTTACTTCTGTTTAAAATGATGATGTTATATTGTTACATTACAACCATTCTTTTATTTTTAATAAAATGATAAAGCTAAGACTAAAATTTTTAACCAATATATTTAGTATAAGGTTTTCGTTGAGAGTTTTTTTCAAGTACTCTCATGTATACTTAAGTATCAGTTTACATTCATCTGTTGATACTTTTATTACTTTCCTGATGATTGTACCAGCACATGAGTCAATGATCGACGCATAATCAGTCCAGTCAAATGAGGGAAATGGGATAATTTTGGTTTGCTGCGGCCAAAGTAAAAATGCGGATAAAGTAAAAAAAGGAATAAGTCGTAATATGACGTAGAAACTGGCTGAGAAAACAGACAGAAAATAGAGCAAGCGAAAAGTAAAGGGATAAGTCAGTGAAGATAGTCACTGTTTCAATGTTATATTGCATAACTAGTTCAATGAACGCAGCAGAATTTACTCCGTTTACGGTCACATTTTTAGTGACATTAGCAATCTCATCAAAAACAGCCCCCTCCTTCTGGGCTGTACAAAAATGTGCGCCAAACATAAATAACGACAATGATGAAATTACAAAAAGTCCTAAAATCATTAAACGCCAATTATTTAAATCTACAAATCAACAATATTTAAAATGAATTATTTTCTTCGGGTTTTTTTTTTTAAAAAAAAATTTAGTACTTTTAATGACACAATAAACATAACAACCAAAAACTTGGCGTGACTGTTGAGATTTCATAGAAGCATGAAATTGTGAAAATATTTAAGCCAATTGATGAATCACAGTCACGCCAAGTTTTTGGTTGTTATGTTTATTGTGTCATTAAACGTACTAAATTTTTAGGGTAAAATTAGAGTAAAAATTACTATGCAGTTTAGTAATTTTTACAATGTGTATGATAATTTTTATCCTCACTCTGCAGTGTCACGAAATTACTATAAAATTCAGGATAATTTTTACTACACATTTCTCTGCGTGTACATTTACCATATTGCTTAAGAATAATTTCTTACGTGAAAATAAGTCAAACATTCCTTCATGAAATGAGGATTTAATAAATACTGTTATAAATCTAAACATTTAAAGGTGTCTTTAGACTTTACCAAAATATTATTGTTTATGACGTTTAACGTCATAAGCACTTAAGTATAAAATTATTGAAGACTTGAATTTTTTTAGATTTACAATGATAATAACTGATATAATAACTACCATTATTTGATTTTTAACTGCTGTTAAAAAAATCATTCGACTAATAACAATAATTAATTTTTTTTTTTATCAATGGAAGTTAAAAAAATGGAAACAAAAATTTCGTCAACGAATATTTATGTTGTGAGATAACGAATATGAAATTTTATTATGTTTTTTATTTGAAGTTAATAAAACACTTCTCTAGTGTTAGTTTATAGTAAACTATTAGTGCTTTCTTATTTCTTCAAACTACCGCAGAAAATTAAAAGTAATAAAACTGTCTACCTTGTGACTACTGAATTATTTAGAACGATTTATATTTCATTTATCTCGATAAATAACTACTTTCATCAGCTTAAAGCACGTTCACCTGTACGAAGAGCTTAGTACTCTTCATGAGAAGATATAGTAATGAAGAAACTCTTCAAACACAGCAGCTGGCTTTCGAACAATCTTGAAGGAGGAGTAATCAGAGTATCACAAATTAATACGATATAATTATTAAAATGCCGGTATTTGAATTAAATCAAAACGGTTTTATTCTCAATATTGTAATGAAATTATTTTTTCGAGTTGAATCATTATTTACTTTTATCTTTGAATAAAATGCAACAATAATTATTAGAAAATCATAAACATCTAAAAGCTTTAAACAAATTTTCTATGTTTCTCAAACAAATAAAACGATGAATCAATAACGAAAAAACTTTAATTATGTAATTTTCTAATTCGATAAGTTGTCTCCAAAATCAGAGCAGCATTAAAATTGTAACTTCGAAATATTTTACTGGCAATAAGCTTACCTATGAATACATGCTCAGCCCAGACAATTATGTAGTCTTAGACTTTAAAATAAACTTGATATATCTACATGTACAAGAGTGTACTGTAGTCATAGCTAGATCGCCTTTTAAGAATTTAGTGAGTGTCTTCAGCTATCTAGAGAAATCTTTTGGAGGATATTATTGAAGTAGTACGTGTTGGTGAAATTGTTCACAAGCGGTACACTTTGAGAAAAAAAGAATAAATATTATTCTTTATGTTTGCTTGTTCTTTTCCTGGAAAAAGATACTATGCAATTTTCAAAAAACAAATTCAAAAGAATACAGAATACTGAAAACTTCAGTCTATTTAGGTTACTTATATAAAAAAACTAATAAATAAGTCAATCACCTTAGTCAGATTCGTAATTTAACCTTCTGACGCGAATGGGTGTTTCTCCCACTCTGTAATCGTTCGACTTAAATTATCTGTTCTCACTCGACA